AATTTGTTCCGCAATAACCCTATTGCTATTGAGTTAAAAATTGAAAATTTTAATGGAAAAATTATTATTTATAAAAACTTTTCAAATGTATTACAATAATGAATGTGTCCAGCAATCATAATGGACAGAAAAAATTTAATTAAAAAGTTGCATTTTTCCATTAAAATTAAATTTATAATTGGTTTTCTTCTGGAATCTTTTCAATTCTATCACATTTAGATAGAATACCATTCTATTTATAATTTCTATGATTTTTAAGTGACCTTAAATTTTTGAGTAAATATAATGTCTATGAACTTGAGTTCCTTTAATACAAATTTACGTTTTAATTAATAATTATTTAATTTTGTACATTATTAAAATAAATTGCTCTTTTGATTCATTGAATTGCAATTTTTAATGCACCAATCCAAAATATCACTTCGAACTCATTATTTTTTTTAATTAACTACTCTTTAACTATTTTCATACTAAATATTTAATAAAAGCTAATTTCAATTGTTAAAAGTAAATTCAATTTTCTATTGATGAATGTATAAAATTTAATTGATTTTCAATTTAAATGCTTTTAAAAATTAAAAGATGTTAAATAGAACAGTGCCGGTCACCTGTTATTATTACAATAGGACAAAATTAACCACATGATTTGTAAGAGCAGCAACAAAATATTGCGTTAATTCTAAATTACGAAAATTTCTTGATTTTCATTAATTTTAATATTCAGATCCGGATTTTACATAGGGAAAATTGTTTTAGAAAAAAATCCTGTACCAATACTAACCTTCACTAATTAACAAAACAATCATCTTCTGTAACACAATTTGCTATAACTAACATTAAAACATGACCTTCGAATTACTGTTTTACTTCCAGAATTAAGAAACATGAGTTTATGTTCTCTTTTTGTATTGTTGTATTAGTAATTTCCTTTCAAATTTTTTTGAACAATTAACAATAATGCTTAATCTTGTGTCGTGTATGATAGTGACATGCAAAACAATAATCTTCATGTTATTCGATGCCTTTTTGATTTTTTTCAAAACCGAATGGGATTAACTTCTGCTAGCGAAGGGTAAACAGAAAACAAACTAAATCATTCATCTCCAGTCCTCCCCATTTTAGTCTCATTTACAATAAAGAAAAACATAGGAAAAGAAATAATGCTTTACAACAACATTCATTCTTCAAATCACTCGTGTTTTAAGAAAGCAATTGAAAAACTGAAAAAAGGAAATTTAAAACCACTATAATTATTATGATTTGTTGCCATCATCACTTCCATAATTTGTTGTAAAATAGTAGTATAAGTGCTTTACTAACATCATAAATCCTTTATTTCTTTTTCCATATAGCAAATTTAATGGACTTTAATGGATGCTTTATCAAACAATATCAAATAAATTTTATTGATACTTTATATTGAAAGAGAATAGGATGCAATTGGTTTTTTATTGATTCAATTGTTTACTCTTAACTTTTAAAATTATCGCAATATTATTTTTCTATTAGACGCTTTTAAAAGTTTTTCTTTTGTGTATCGTATAGCCGCCACAAAAAATCTTTTTGAAAAACATTGAGAATATTGATAAAATGAAAAATTAATTGCTCTTCTCTAAAGTAAAATTTTAAATGAAATTTATTTGTTTTCTTTTTATTTTGGATTTAATTTCTTTTTAAGTATGGTATTTAATTAAAAAATAAATTTACAATTGAATTTAATGGCGAAGGAAAAAAAAAACCATAAAGCTGCACATTTTTAACTAAAATACTTAAATAAGTCAATTTTAGTAAAACTAATTTAAAAGGTTTATGTAACCATCAAAAAAGTGAACAATTTGAAAGCTTTGCATAGCAGTGTATATAAATGATTCAAGCAAAGAATGAAGAGGAATTGCAAAATAATTTGTAGAAGAAAATAATATTACGTACCCAGCAATATAAGCCATATTTCAAGTATGTTGTGATTCTGATTTCTGAAGAATTTGTGTAATTTATATTTTTCGTTGTTTCGGTTAATAAGCAATGTTCAATTATGAGTCAGATAACTCACGTCCATTTACTCATTTTATGCATTATTCAAAAATGTAACAAGTAGGGCTTGCCTAAAATTTCCTTTTATTGTAGAGAAAAGAATTACGACTTGAACCTTAATTATCTTCGATTTAATCAACACGTTGAGTATGCCAACAACATTAAAGCTAACAATTTAATTTAGACGCAAATATATTCGAAGCTTGTGATTTGTTGTAGTTGTCACATAAATCTTAAACTATTTGAATGTTTCTTTTAAAGCTGACACAATCATATTTGCCGTTTTTTGGCTTTAGCTTGTTATAAATCAGAAGCAAAATACCAAACCATTAATTTACCGATTAAAAACAAAATTTGTACTTACCAAAATAATATAATATAGATAAAATTCTAATATATTCCAATTTAGATATTTGTTACCAATTTATAAGAATTTTCCAAGTTTTTCAAATATTGTCGACGCACTTCTTACAAAATAATTTGAATTTTACACTTAACATTAGCAAAACAAATCTGTTTCCAAGAATTCCTTTTCTATTGTCATTATTATTACTATAATTTATTGAAAATCACAATATAATTCTCAAGGATCTCAACTACATATGTATACGATTCTAATCCAAATCTATTATCATAAACTAGAATTTATTCCTTTCCAATACCACGTAAATGTTTAAATAAAAGTAATGGATTTGCAAATTTTATTATGTAAATTGAAGTTTCCTTTAATTATAATTCTTAATATTTTGTGCAAATCATCCTGTATAAAATTTTTTTTTGTACTCGCATACAACAAGTTAGAAATCCTTTAATATTACAATCCTTGTATCATTCTAGTTTTATTTTTTTTTTTTATTTCCTGCTCTATATAAAGTTATATTAGTGAAATAAAGCGAAAATGCCTATTATCCTTATACAATCACATTTACTAAAATAATACATTATGGAAAAAAAACAAACTTTAATCTCCATATGTATGTTATGTCCTTTTTGTTTCCTACTTAAAATTCAAAGTAGGAAATTAGAATATTACAATTCTCATTTAAGTTATACTATTATAATAGTATAATATAATATAACACATTATGTTTTCCCGTACATTTAAATGTATGTATTTTTACAAGGTGCTCATTTAAAGCAAATTTATAGTAGAAATCAGGAGAAATATTAAAATTCTTTTAGGCAAAGGAATGTATGTACAGAACAGTCATTGTCAATAATTGTCATTCAATTATTTCTTGATATTCAGGAGATTAAATTAAGACGTTTATAGAACGTTAAACTAGATTTATTTACCACATTTCTAATTCAATTAAGTTCAAAAGTCTTGAGAATCGATTAGATTAGAATTTACGTTCGCATATTGCAAAAATATCGAATAAAACAATCATAGAAGCCTACTCAATGTGTCCTCTTCTTTATTTTTCACAGCAACCTTTCCAAAGAGCTTATTCGGGATGTTAGTCGCTATATACACCAGTTAGAACGGATACCCTTAAATCTATAGTAGCAATAAAATTTAATTAGAAACGCATTCTACCATAGATTTCAAAGAATTTCAATTTTAATTGTTAACAAACACGGCCAAAGCCTAATAGTAATGAAGTAATCTCAACACTTTTGTAATATTTACGGTTTCCTCACTAATCTTATATTTTCTACTATTATTTTCAGCAAATCTTTCCTTCAAAAATTTTTATATAATTAAATAGTAATATAATAACAAATAATATTAAAGAGGCTTCTAGTGATTCTATTTTCCTATACATTGAAATAATTTTGACGATCATAGTTTGGCTAAATCTCTCAATGATCAAGCATTTTTCGTATCAACTTGTATGAAATATTTACTCTGTTTGAGAACAATGTTTTTTTTTGTTAAATTCTCTAGGAAAAACCCAAATATTTACCTAATGTCTTTACTATTATCATTACAATATTCAAAAGTCCTTTTTAGGTAAATTGTTTTTTCGTTCAAAGATTTTCAAAAGAACTTTGCAAAAACCCTTTCTGGCAAATATGTCTGTGTGGAACATTTATTTTTGTTCTCTGTTGCTTCTTGTAAACTTTTATTTTTTTATAAATAATGTTGGAAATTGTTTCTTTTTTTTTAACAACAATTTTAATAGTGTGTACTAATAGGTTCAGTATAAACAAAAATTAATAAATAAGGATTTATGACTTTTAGAGTTCTTTCTTTTTTTTTGAAAAGACATATTAAAAATTCCAAGAATGTAGTCTTTCTATAAAGAAATTCGAGATTGAAAATTGAGTTTAAAATTTATATTACAAATTGAATCAATAATTTCAATATCGATAGTGTTAAGTAAACTGAAATAATCAAAAATTATAAATGTAGTATGAAATTATTTTCCTCTTGTACAGCAATTTAATTTCGCAAAAGACTTGTATACATTACAAGAATAGGGAGGTTAGCATAGTGAATTTCAAAATTTTAACATTAATACATAATAAATATGTACTATTAAATTATATTACAAAGAGCAGTAGATCATTAAGCTTCAATAATTCCAAATAATTTTTTAAATTTAGGATTCATATGGTCCGATTATAATATCTCTATAATCGGATCACATCCATAATTTTGTTCAAATTTTAAAGGACATATGTGCATATATAAAAATCTATTTTTCTAGTTTTGGTTAGATCTGGACCAATAATTTAGACTAGACCGACAGGAAATGCTATAGTTCACGTTAACAAATATCAGTTGTCCATACGATTGAGTATACACTACAATTATTAAATAACGTCATACTCAAATATTAATAATCATATGGACTTTATAAGGTTTCGACAAACTCTTTAGGTTAAATTTTTATCTAATTTCCTAGTATCTTAATTTCCATTCAAGACGATGTCAGTGTCGTTATTTATAAAAATTAAATTATTTTCTAAAATATTGTGTTTTTCTTAATAATAACAATTAAAAAATTTTCGTTTTTCAGATATCCAAAACCTGGCACACAAAATCCAGAAGTAACATTGAAAGTAGCTGACTTAGCAAATCCGAAGAATATTGTTACAAAGCATGTTCGTCCACCATTATCATTAAAGGATGTGTAAGTTTTTATTTCTTTTTTATTGTCTTAATTGATTAATTCCATAAATTTTAACATTCATTAATAACATAGTTAAATTTTCTATTATCGTATTGGTTTCAATTTATTTATGGTTTACGAGAATAATTCGTATTTGAAATAAAAAGCCACGTTTTTAAAACATATTTTTAATTCACAAGCTAAAAATTATACTAAATTTCCAAAGAAAATATTGTCATATTTATTTCAAAACGCGCGCAAATACTATTATGGTTGTAATACTGTAAAAATAAATTTCTATTTATTCAATAGTCCTGATTTAATTGACATTACTCAACGTAGCCCCATAAAATTTGTTCTTCAAATCATCAAAAACTTCTACTACATTCGGGACAATTAAATCAATAGGGATTTAATTCTTTGAGTGTCTATTCTTGTGATTAATTGATCATAATAAATTTCAAGTGTTCTCGTAAAAAAACAAAATCAACGACACCTTTTTCTCTATCACCTTTTGTTTTTTTGCATAATATCATTGTAGTTAAATCAAAAATACGATCCTGTCTAGACATTTTGTATTACTTTTGTAAATATTTTTAATTATTTATCATTTTGTTTTGGTTTTATTAAATATAATTTCAGGGATCATTATTTTACGAGTGCCAGTTGGATAAGTCAAACAGAAATTTGTATAATTTGGTTGAATCGTGCACAAAATATGTCAATAATTTCATTATGTAAAAGCCCTCTATTCCATTGTATTGAGGTAAGTAAAAGAACTTTTTATATTTTTAATAAATTAGACAAATAATATATAAGGACAGGCGGTTAAAAAATTTATTGAAGAAATTAATAAAAAAATAGAGAATTAGTCTTTTAGAACTTTAATAAAAATTCAGTTTTTGAAATTACCATACGTTTTGCTTTTACGCCCAAGCTGTGAACATCGGTAGGATCACGAAACAACACAACAAGCCTATATGAAAATAATTTTCTAGGTTTTCGAAAAAAATCATAACAAAATGTTTCCTAAATTCTTGCAATTTCTAAACTAGTCGAATTTCATGCCTCTTTAAAATGTCTTAGTTGAAAGATATGAATATTTTGGACATTAAGCAGCTCAGTTTTTTCTAGCAAATGTTTAAAATTTAAAAACATGTCTTAATTAACAATAATTGCATTAAATTGAATTTCACAAATTAATTACCAGAAGTGTTTACTAAATTTAAAATACAAGAATTAAATTTTTCATTTCAATTCAAATTTGTACTAAATTGTGAAGTCCTAATTAAAATAACAATAATTTACAACAATAAATTGCACCCTCATATAGTTATTTTTAGTATACATAAATATAGGGGACCAAAATTACTCATATACTCGTATTCAGAAAATATTTATATATTTGCACATAATTCTATTTATGTAGAGAAATCTGACCACTGATCTGTAAAATGTAAACCATTTTAATGTGGTTTTCTTTAAAAAAAATTTTTTTAGTTTATAAACTTATTTTTATATCAGAAGGTAAAAAATATTTTTATAGGTTTCTTTTGTGGTTTTTATGTGGTAATGTTCTGGTTTTTAAATATATACAAAATAATATTTTAAGGATTTTATTTTTATTATATTTTACAAGTTTCAATAATACTGAGAAAAGACAAACTTTAATACAAAAAAATATTAAAATTTGTGGGGTTTCCATAAAGAATACATAAATTTCTTTTAAGTTAAAAATATTAAAAATATTAAATTTATATAAGAAGCATATGTAATAGAAAGCTACGCAAATAAGGATATTATTAAATTTTTTAAATTATAAACGAAGGTGAAATTGCATACTTTTAGGGACGTCATGTAATTTTTTAATTTTTCTCGAATACACTAGCAAATGCAATTATATTAGTAAAAAACTCTAAGTGTTTCGACTTGCTGACATTTAGGAGACATTTATTACTTTAAATTTTCAATAAAATTTCAATCATTTAACTGTGCCTTTAATTTAATAGGGCCTTATACCAAGTAAAAAAAAATTTTATTTAAAATAATAATTTGAGTTATCAACTAGTCACTAGTGTACAATGAATTTTATTTTGCAATGAGAATATTTCAAGGTTTGTATTGAAACTAAAACTGATTTGAATCAGAAAAGATGTAGAATTTTAGCAAATTTAAAACCTTTAATCAAATGAAAAATTGAAGTTTGAAATCATCCGCGCTTAATAGTTTTTTATTTCATTTAATAATAAATTATCTTGGAATCTTGTGTAATATTGATAAATTTATTAATAAAATAAAATAAATATTTCATGAATTTCCTCTGAATTTATCAGAGTGCAAATTATTTAATTTTGTTTAACCTGTACTTTAATCATTGCTTCATATTTCATAATAGTAATATAAAATACAGAGAATTTGGTATAACTTTTATTTCAAGCCTTATTTTAGTACCTTTACAACTATTTGATGTTCGTCTTTTTCATGAATGAGTGTGACATATAAAACGGAAAATGAGCAAGCAAAAATTCAGTGAAATTTTCCAAACAAAAATCGCCTATATACAAATAAATTGACAAAAACTCCATTTTTTAAAAGCTAAATTGCATAAAATCTTAATAAAACTGAATTTTCAGAACAGACACATTTATTATTTTAAAATTTATTTCATATCACTTTATTGTAAGTCATTCAATTTTCAAAATTAATCGATTTTAATTTTCATTTAGAATCCTAGTGGTTACACAAAAAATTGGTACTATAAACAGGGATATCATAAATACATCGATTTTCAAAATATTTTCTACTCTCTGCTCAAATACAACGAATTAATGAGAAATTATATTTCTTCTTATATACCATGTTCTATATAACCAATAATAGAGGTTCTAACCCTATCATTCAGTAGCATTATCAAAAATGAAATTTCATTATAACAAAAGAAAAAAAAATTTAATAGATTTTCTTCCAAAAGAAGATATCCTTAAAATATTTTTCCTTGATCTATTTTTTGCTATAAATTACAATCAAATATCATTTTTCTTCTCAAGAAACCAATATTGATACAAAAGAGCTATTTTCGTATTTTCGGTTATAAATCACACAAATTTTTTGAATTGAAAACTGTTTTCCTTTTTTTTTCATTTTTCTTAAAATAAATAAGTAGATGTATATATATTAAACACACACACATTTTGGCAATCGCCTATATATATGCAATGAATTTACAAAGAAAATTCTTTAATATAAATTTGATTTTACAAGAAATTGACACGTGCGTTTCTGCTACAGCTAGTTGCGTTAAAAATCAATTCATGCTGCTTATTACTTGTATTATTATTTTTTTGAGTGCCATGATGAATATTATTGTTGAAAAAGATGAATACAAGCAAATATAAATAAGTTTTTGCCAAACAAAGGATAAATTATTTATTTTTCCTTCTTAATTTATCACTTTATTGAGAGGAAAAACTCACATAAAATAAGGAGTGTTCCCTGTCTTTTAAACGATTCCCTTAAAACGTGCTTGCATAAATAAAAATTGGGTCGATTATATAAATTAGTTGTAAAAGAGCACATTTGCCTTCAAGAAATTAAATCTAAACTTGTATATAATTTTAAGCCTTAATATTAAAAATCAATTTCAATAAAATTAAGTTTCTTATTGCTAATATAATATTGCATAGGTTTAGGAGAAAAATTTAGCGATGTAATTTTATATAAATTATGTATTCAAATTATGTATTTAAAATTTATTTCGATAATAGCCAAACTATAAGAAGTACAAGAGTACTCCAACATAGCGTTATTTAATCATTGACAATCGCCTATATATATGCAATGCTTATTTATTATTATTTAACAATTGATCATTAAACTAATCATTAAAAAAAACTTATAACTTAACCTATGATAACTTTACAAATTTGGTTACGTCCCTAAAAGTATGCATCCGCCAAATTTTAAAAATACTTATTGCTAAAACACAGTAACTTTTTAAAAATTTGCAATTTAACGACTCTAAAGAGCTACAACTTTTTGAAAAGGAGTATAGGTGATCAGTTTGTGCTAGAGCTTTGTTTTGGTGAAAGAGTGAATTTTTCCAAATCTTGCACCATTTAAATTATACATTAAATGAAAGATTGTGAGAAACAGCGAAACTTGGATAGAATTTACTAACAATCTCCTTCAGAATTGATTGAGAAACGGGAATATTTTGACAATTACTTTAATATTCTTTAAAGTTTGACAATAATTGTAGGCAACACTAACGTATTTCAAGTGAAACCGTAAACTTATGACACAAAATCTCCTCTAGGCTGTAATATTTAAAGGCAGGAGCTTGAAGAAAAAATTCATGTACTTCAGAATAATAAGTATATTTATAAAAAAAAAAAACTTTTTATAAAGGATACAAACATTTTAATGAATATAGGTCCGAAAAATATTTTCAGACCCCTCTTCAACAATGTAAACAACAAAAGATAACCATTCGGAAAAAATTTAATTCATTTTTTTTTTGCTTTTGATTTGGGATGGCAGGCAGAATTTTGTACCAGCAGCTCTCCATTGTTATTATTTTTCTTCCTTTAAATCTCATAAATTATTAAAATGAAAATCTTAATTTAATATTCTTAATCTATTTTTAAACAATATATCATTACCCTTTTTAATATATACAAAATTACACAATATCTACATTATGAACTAAGGTTAAGTTAAAATGTAAATTTCAAAAGGATGTACAAGGATGAAGGTATAGCTTAAATATATCAATTTCAGTTTTTTCTAGTGTGGTTGCTATAATTTGAAATTTAGATGTAAAATCTAAAATTATCCGTTTAACATAAGTATATTTATATAATGTTCATATTATACACTATAGATAAATTATAGTAAAGGATAATAATTGACATTACGTAACTGAAGGTCAAAATTTCACTAATTAATCAAATAAACTTAAGAATTTTTGTAAAAATTGAATTTTCGTGTTAAAAGAATTTTTGTGCAGAAAATGAGGAATGATTATAAAAAAAATTGGTACATCCGACCCTCATTATTGTTGAGAATCTCAACCTGCTATTAGTGTTAATAAAAAAAAATGTAAAAATTTTAATCAAATTAGCAGAATTTTGAGCCAAGCCTAATTTTTCTATATTTCATTTTTGACAATTTTACCATAAATTTGTTGTAGTTGGCAACTTTAAATCGATTCATTTACGTCAAAAAAAAAATGAAAAGGAAGTGGGCCTCTAGGCTTATTTTCTTTACAGGCAAAAAAAGTCATTTTTGTCTATCATCTATTTGATGTCGGCTATTGCTTTGGAAAACAACCTAAACAAATATTCTGCCGAAATATGAATCTCAAAATTGATTCTTTCGATTTGACCATCTAAAATAAAAAAAAAAAACAATAAAATTTACATAAAAATTTTCACCTGTTCTGTCTTTTTCTTTAAATTTGAAAACTATTGAAAGTATCCGTCAAGGTTTTTCTTAATTATAATTTGATATTTTTTTCACGAAACCAAACACTCATCTTACATCATTTAAAGATACTTAAAATTGATAAAATCCGATTTGCTTGCCAAATCATTTGTTAAAACGAAAAAATTATTTTATTTGGCAAAATTATCATTTCCAAATTAAATTCTCTAAAACCATTGTACGTTTGTATAACAATTATGTTCAGTATATTAAAACCATATTTTGTATATTGTATGAAAAATATTAATTATTGTGCAAAAAATTAGAAAATGTCACAGTCAGATATTGTTTTTTAAAAAATTATAACAATTTATATTTTTTAATTGCAAAACTATTTTGCAATAATTACAACAAAAAAAAACAGATAGTAATTACACAGCTAAATAAATCTGGCCTTGTCACGCAAGATGACAAAATTTTTTTAACATTATACCAATAACAGAAAATTGGAGCATATTTTTAAATTCAAAATAAATTGTTGGAAAATTTAATTGTTATGTAAATCTAAATTTTACGGAAATCCTTTAAAAACTAAATTTTATTTAATATTTACAAAATTAACATGTTGCCTTCTTAATATAAATATAAAAAGGATCTCAGAACAGTAGTTGGTAGTGATTTCATTTATTTGATTTAAGGTCATTATGATAATAGCATTATATCCCCGTTTCGACTACTCAAAATTCCCATATGAAATTTTATAATTACAATTCGTGCCTAATATGGAAAACTGAAATATTAAGTAATGGCAAAAATTTATTTGTTCATCAATTGTTATAAAAAAATCTTCAATTTTTTAAGGACTAATAACAAAAGAATTTAGGAATTTGGTTTTTAGATCGAATTTATTTTTACACTGAAGATGAGCATTAAAGTGTTTGGACCTTAAGTGGAAAAATGTTGTTTGATTGTGAAAATTTTTATCGTTTTTCATCAAATAGTACAAAATTTTCGATTTTCAATTAGCCAACACTGATTTCATTGCAATATGAAAGTAATTATATGTAGAATATTATTTGTTATTTATTATAGGTAATTAAAATAAATTAATAATTTTGAATAAATTACAAAATGTTTTCATTATTCTGTTGATATCTACAAACATATTTCCCCATATTTTGATTACAAATTAAATATTCTATATGTTATTTAGGGTTTTCTATCTCAAGGCTTAAATCTAAAATAAAATAAATTTGTGTGGCTGAAAATATATAAGGAGATGGGTAATTTATTTTTAAAAATTCTCATGTTCTGTTATTAATTTAATTATACATAAATAATACTTTGCTTACGAGATTTTCAATTTCCAAACGAGTTTTTTGGACAAAGAAATCCAATCTATTGAATTGAATTGTTTTTGATTTAGATCAGATTTCATAATGCCTAAGAGATATTACTTAGTAAGTTAGAATGATTTAGTTTTAGAAATTTGAAATTTTTAGATTAACACCTAATTAGGTAAAATCGGTATATTAAATTTTTTATAAAGAGAATCTTTAGTATTGTCACAACGTTTACATATCATCATCGCGTTAAATAATTTTATGACTAAATTGCTTCAGTACAGAAATCAAAACTTAACAATCATTTAGAATTTCATATAAACATTAAAAATCGGAATTAAAAGATGTACACACACAGAAACATTAAATTAATAGGTTTATTTTGTTTTGCTCATACACACATTTTCCTCCTGAATAAATTAATTCTCATGCACTAAGAATAAAGTTAGAAAATAGGAATAACCGCACACTTCAATTGTATGATGAAAAAATTTTTAAAACTGAAAAATTATTTCATGAAAAAATTAGTAGTGTGTCATTAACTTTGACTTTATACAGAAGTTAAGGCAGTCACAATATCATGATTGCATATTGCAAAGTGTACAAATGCAAAACAGATTGGAAAGCCAAATCGTTGATATTTATTTTACTTTTTCATAGACGAACAAGCAATATATTTGTGTATAAACAATTTAAGTAAAATTTAATCTTTAATTTTCCAAAATCTTAAGCCTTAAACATTGGAATATGATTTTGCCACAACAAATACGAGTTGTTCAGTTTTAAATTCAGTCCATTGTACCTCGGATAAATACAAATAATCCTTTAATCATGTTTTTCATAATATGTACCATAATCGAACGGCATAAAAAGAAAAAAAAGTCTGTTTCAAGCTTTTAGTTTGGTACAATATTATTTTGTTTATTGTAATATGCAAACAAAATTATAGCACATTATATGAAGGACTCAAGAAATTTCTATATAATAGCACAACTTTCAAATGACACGCTTTTATTTATTTAATATAAAATTCAAATGAAGAGGAAAATAGCAAATATTTAGTAAATTATTTATGTTAGAATAATTAGAGAAAATAAGTACACATTTTGAAAAATAATTTTGTTGTTTGCATTAAAATTTAATTTTAAATATGCAAATATAAAATTTTCTTTAAAGTTCATGGATTCTTTTCATTTCATTAAAATATTATAAGAAAATTATGTATCAGACTTCCTCTTTCAATGGAACAAAATATTTAAAAATAATTATTAATATTTTAAAATCGTTTTAATTATGTAGGTGTTTGAAATCGTACTGAAAACTTTTAAGTCGCTAACATGTTTTGCATTTTGAATATTTAGAATACAAGTTGCCAAATTAAGAACAAAGTGAAAACACTCATTAATCTTTTCAACAACAATATTTTCCGTTTTTTTAATGCTTTTAATGTAGCAGCTCTTATTATACTAGTGATAGTAATATTACACTAGTGACAGTAACACTGTTATACAACTTCAAAAATAATTTATTTATATCTGTAAAACTCCTAAAAATTAGGGTAACCAAATTCAAAATAAACTTGTCTAAGCATAAATAAATCAAGTATTTCTTTAGAAACTTTTAGTTTTTACCTAAATCACCAAGTTAATAATTATTATTCGTACAAGTATTGTAGAGCTCAAGCACTCCACTCCAAATCATGTTGAATACAGTTAAATTTAACGAAATGAAAATTTAGAAACTTTTCAATTGAATTTTCTTTAGTAGAATTAAAATTGAATTTTCAGCAAATTATTAATATTATTTGAATTTTAAATATTGTTGGAACTGAATATGTTTAATATTATGCTGAAATGTTTATTCTTTAACATAAAACTAAAAAGCACAGGCAACCAATGTCATTTGAAATAATTTTTTCTTGATCACACTCAAAAAATCTGTTCTGCCGTCCATTTGTCAGCAAATAGTTAAATATCACAATTATTACTGAAAATGAAATTTTAAAATTCATTTTTTATTTTGAAAAAACTCAGAAAATATTTGCATTTTTAAAGTCTAAATTTTCACTATTCATAAAATGAAAATTAATATTTCAAAAGTTGTAAGGGTAACAAAATATTCTTAATACAAGTTTCGAGCTCATGTATAACTTAAGTAAACTACTTCCCATATAATGGATTCAAGATTTGCACCTTTTGGTTCAAAAAAAAAATTCCAAAAATTCCAACACCTTCCAACTAAATCTTAAAATAAAGTTTATAATTATTTAAAGAATTCCACTAATAAATTTCAACTTCATATTTTCAAAAATATCTATAGACACCTTATCTATTTTATTGTACGGCAAAACCCTTTAAAACAAATTGCTTTTCCTACATACATAATTCGTATAGAAAAATGAAGGAAAGTTATGCAAAACTGAAATTTTCAGTTCCTTTTTCATACTTGGGAGAAAAAAGGACTCAAAAACTTTTACCATTAAATTTATTATTCTTTTTTTTTATGTTTGCTATAATTTTTCCTTATTCAAGTAAAATTTAAAATAATTTTGAAAATAAATATTATGAGCTTTGTTTCTTTTATTCCACAAAGAAGAGATTTTAAATTTTAGAAAACCATAAAAAAAATAATTTTCGGAAAAAGGATATTAAAACTAAACATTCTAAACATTTTTTAAATAATTGCATTGCAGAAAGGATACAAAAACCTAAAAAAAAAAATTCATCCTTTTATAAAAAGTTCCTTGAAATATTTGTGGTTTGAATTTTAAAATTTAACTTTCTTTTATGGTCACATTTATTTTAGAGTTATCAAAGTTAAAATAACAAATCACCTGTATATTCAAGCTTATATTTTATAAGTTGAGATAATAAAAAGTTTATTATAAGAGTAAGGTAATAATTTCTTTAAAATTATATCGTAATAATTCTAAAGAAGAATAATAAAGGATATTAATTTACTATACTTTTAAGCTCCCTCAGAGAGTTTTGTATTTAAATAAATCTTTTCTTGCATTTTATTTTTTATTACAGAATATTCGAATTAGTTCAGATAATCGAGGTTGGGTTGATACATTGTCTGTGCCATTTTTTGCTACAAATTCTTCATCTTATATAACAATATATCCTTGGAGAGATGGTGCAGCAGGTGCATATCTTGATTTTAAATATAAAATTTTATTATATAATTTAATAAAATTTAATGAACAATTTCTATTTTTAAAATTTTCTCAATCTTAAAAGGATATTTTAAACATTTGGTACATGTTCAAGTTATGGGAGGTAGAATATTACCATTAACACATGGTCGTCATGAGGTCAATAGAATATTACATTGGGATCAAATACATAATATTATGTAAGTTCAATTACAACACTTTTATTTACGATAATAATATAAAAACTGATTGCATATACATTAAAAAATTATAGTTATTTTCTTGGAACACCAGAAAGATTACCATCCCAACAGCATTTATATAGAGTATCAGCAATACCGCCAAGATTAGGACAACCAATGCCAGATCCACAATGTATGACATGTCCACCAATAAATAAAGGTGAAACAACAACAAAACCACCACCAAAATTAGTTACAGCTTGGGATGATGATTGGGAGGAACAAGAAGAAGAATTAGTAACATTACCACCACCTCCAACGCCACCAACACCACAACGTAAAAATAAAATAATTGATGATTTTGAATCAAAACCATGTTTATATCATACAGCAAGATTTCCACCAACAGCAAGTGCTGATTATATACTTATAGAATGTCTTGGACCAACAATACCAACTAGTGTTATTTATTCAATAGTAACAAAAAATGTTAGTATGTTCAGTCAAACATCATCATCATCATTATCATCATCGTCATCCGAATATTCAAATAATAATCATATTAATAATCAAATACCACCATTGGAATTATTAATGACTGTACAAAATAATACGAGACTGAAACAAAAAATTGCAAAAACAGCAATGCCACAAATACGTGCATTTCCAGTTATGATATCTGGTGGTTATCATGCACAAGTAAGATTATTTTTACCACCAGGTTTACGTGATGATGAAATAACTAGATATCCAGCAATATTACATGTATATTCTGGTCCAGGTACACAATTAGTTACAGATAATTGGCATGTAGATTGGAATACATATTTAGCTAGTTCAAAAGATTATATTGTGATACAAATTGATGGTCGTGGTTCTAGTGGACAAGGTTATCAATTATTACATGAAGTATATAGAAGACTTGGTACTGTAGAAGTTTCTGATCAAATTGAAGTTATGGAATATCTTAGGGATAATTTTGCATTTATTGATGGTCGTCGTATTGGTATATGGGGTTGGAGTTATGGTGGTTATGCAGCAGCATTAGCATTAGCTAGTACACAATCAATATTTCATTGTGGTGTTAGTGTATCACCAGTAACAAATTGGAGATTATATGGTAAGGACTATAATTATTATAAATTCTTTGTTTATATAGAATAACATTCAACCATCCTTTTAAGCTAAAACCTAGTTTCAAGACAATAAAAGACCCAATAAAAAAGTCAGCAACTTCTTGTTGAGTTTTCATGAAAAATATAAAGAAATATGCTTTTCGGGCTTATGCGTTATAATTTGAACATTATGTTCGCTTATATTACAATAGTATAACAGTTATTGCGGTAATTTTATTTAAAAAAAACGGAACCATATCATAGATGAATGCTATTAAGGATTAATATTTTTATTTTTAAATTCCTACTATATATGAAATTCAATTTTCTCATCCTTCTATGTCAAATATATTTTCTTCTCAAAAAAGGATAAAATATTTTCTTTGTTAATTTAATTTTTCAGTCACTTGAAAAATATTGATTTCATCGTTGCTATCTTAACCCGGCTTTATAAAATTGGGAAAAAATTATAACAAATACTTAAAAAAAATTTTCAGGAGGTCATTTAAAATACCCTACACCACATACAATATAAACTATAAAAGCAAACTTCCATATAAAATTGTTGAAATCAAATATCATTTTGTTGAGTCCTTCAGAAACATTAACGGCAATAACAGCTTGCGGTAAAGAACGTCATTAAATCCGTATCAGACAGCTTCTCTAAAAATTTTTGGTTTGTACTTAATAAAAAATATTCAATTATGTGAATTTAAAACAAAACAATATTTGAAATTCTATATAGAACTTTCAAAATAGAAAATTTAAATAACCTAGAATTTCGAGAGAATTTACTTCCAAAACTATTCGAAAGAATTAAGTCGGGAAATTATATAGCGGAGAACAACAAAAATATTCACAGAAAATTTCTTTACTTGCTTATAGGGTATTACACGAACATTATCAGAAGACCTTGAAAAGAAGCTTATATAAAAATAATAATAAACCTTTTTTCAAGCAATATTGATTTGATTCAAAGATATACGAGTACGGTGGTAGTATTGACGTACAGCATAGATGAAATTCAATAATTTTCTTTATTGTGATCAGAAAATTTTCTTTACAAATTTTTCTGATTTTTATTGAAAACAAAGTTGACCTTCGCAAATCAATTTATACTATGTGACGTCATAGAGATGTTAGCTAATATGGCACAAGAGACTTTTGTCTTAACATTTATCGAGAGAAAAACCAAAACAAACGTTTACAAAGAGAACTTAAACTGTCTTTGAAAACTTACACTTCTTTAATCATTCAAGAAATCAAATGTCAAATCAATGCCTTTAATATTTGAAAATCTCTAATCAAATGCGACTTGACTTGAATTTTTGTTACTTGACTTAAATCTTCATCTTTTTAGAATTCTGACACACGCCACATAGTACTTATAAAATGACTCTCAGAGGCCATTACAATCATTATTTTTCTTTACCAAATTCTAATAGCTCTTCAATTTTCATGTCATAAAAGTTCAATCAAATGAGAAGAAAAATAAAAAAAAAAAATCTGATGTGGTCAGCACATAACCGACCGCATTGTGCATTGTCTAGTTAAGTGAAAGTGTTACAGAATATTATAAAAATGTCTGTTTAATACTTCTTTGCAATTTTTAGGACATTAGTAAACTTATAGTTAACGTACCTAGAAAAATGTAAATTTGGCTCTTAAAAGAGTTTCACTTTGTGCCACCCGAATTCCCTGAAATGCTCGTCAGTTAGTTTCGGTAACAACCAGAACTCAAACATCAAATTTCAAGAAATTCTATCAATTAGTTCCGTAGATATGGTGAAAAATGTAAAATCGGCCCGCAGATCAGTTTTCGAGCCCTGATATTTCCAAAAAATTTATATGTTCATTGTTTTAATACGAGGAATTCATATATTAAATTTCAATGAAATCGGTTGATTATTTCTCTTTATATATGCAAAAATGTATATTTGGCCCGTAGTAAACGTCTAGTTGCTGACGCCTGATTTCTTCCAAAAGTTAGGAGGTTTTGGGGCCGGTCGAGCGAAGATTATATATGAAATTTCAAGCAAATCGGTTGAATAGTTTCTTCAAAATGTTCAAAAATGTAAAACAGGCCCGCTAAAAAGTGCAGTTCCCGAGGCCTGATATATACCAAAAGTTGATCGATCCGTGCCATGGTGGAAACAAACTTACATATAAAATTTCATCAAAATCGGTTCAGCCGAACTTGAGATACACGCGTGCACACACAGACCGACAGACGGACAGACCGACAGACCGACAGACCGACAGGTTGCTAAAAATAGTTTATTTACACTTCCCTACTATGGAGAAGTACGTTCCCACCGAAAACTCGATATGCAAAATTTGTTGCCATCACATAACCTACCTATTGTTTACACAATACGGTCGGTAAAAAGAACAAAATTATAAAAAAATTTTATGATCTCTTGAAAAATTGACTTATTTTTTTGATTAAAGATTGCGGCATCCAATAAATTTATTTATTAGAAAATCGCATAACCTTCAAAATTTTTAATACAATAAAATTATTATTGCTATAAGGATATTTTGAAATGATATTCGATAACAAAAAAAAATTCAATTTTATTCATGATTTAAGCTGAATTTTTTTTTTATGAAAATAAAATTTAATAAAAATTTTATGTAATTTTAAAATAAATTAAATTTTTAAAATGTCTACGTAGATAAACAGATTAATAATTATTTAATTGAAAAACATAAATTTCAAAAAAAAAAAAAACATTTATTTAAATTGAAATAAACAATGTTGTATTGTTTCAGAGCCGAATTTCGAAATTTTTAAAGACAGCTGATTTTTAAAGACAGAATTGATCTGAGTTCTATTTGATTGAATTAAATTAGATATTGGACAGCTTCCTTGCCTAGAATTCTGAATTTTTTCTGTATGTACAACTTAAAACTCCCAAAAAAGCAGAGTAGTGACTCTTCCATAATATTCGACGACGCATTCCTGTGAATTTTAAAATTTTCCCATTTTTATTATGATATGAAAAGAAAAAAAAACGCCTTCTTTGTAGATTTTTTTATTATGATTATCCCGTTTCCAAAAAGTAATTACATTCAGAAGAAAATTCAGATCTCAATTACAATTGTTCCGTATACTCCCTAAAATGGAACAACAAATCTTCAATTTTTTTTAATTCAAAATCAATTAAGTCCGCTTAAAAAACATCCCACAAATCCTTAATCCGAACCTGTAATATTAAAAAATAAATAACAAAGATTTTCATGTTTATTTATTTTATTTCTCTCCTCTTAATCATTTAATTTATTTTTTATTAAAAACAAATAAACAATTTTTTTAATTTAAACAGGTTGATATACAAAAATTATTACCAAAAAATTTTATGTTTACTTATTGATAATAATACGATTATTACCTTGTTATTAATTTTATGTACAAATATGAAAAATTCAGTCTATATCTGAAAGTATCAACAATTAAGGACCATAATATTTGGTTTTCAAAGATTATTTTACCTCATTTTCACTGAAAATTAATATGAAATACAAAAAAATTTTAATTAAAATTTAATTATAAATTGAATATATAGTGCGTTAGGGTGGGTCACAAGAATTTTTCTGTTTAAATCCATAATAGTGATGTGCGAATACTAAATACTCGTTATTTCAATGCTAGTTACTTTGAAAATTCAATGTAACTGGTTCCTTGTAGAACAAGAATACTCGTTACTCATTACTAGCAGATAATTTTCATATTGTACCTAATACTAAACTAGTATTATTTCTATCATATAGTTAATGAGATAATCAGAATGTGACAGATTTTATTAGAGTTGATTCATGTGTCAATTGTGTTGTATAGGTGCGATTATGACATTGTTATGTTAATTACATTAAAATATTGTACTAATGTATAAATGCAGAGAATTTATGAATTTATACATTTAAATACTACCAATTATTATCGCATGTAAACACAAGAGTAAAATTAAAATTTAGTTTGAAGAGCGTTAGCGTCACATTGACATTATAATTATGACTCAAAAAATGTATTACTGGATTTTAATAAAGAAATTGAATATGCTCTTATTAAAGAAGTTCTGATATCTTGGGAACCATAACTCCAATCGTCTTAATTCCGATATTCTCCCGACCCTGTAATAGAAGCTAAAAGAATTAATAAAGTCCCAAAAAGTGGCACAATTTTTTTTTTGGACCCCTATTTTTTGAGCATTTGGCGCGGTTATACTTTTCAATTTTTTTTCGCAAATTGATGTTCTTTATCGAAATCGAGGAATACGTTTATTTAAATAATGTCTGTCTGACTTCTGGTTGTCTAGATGCAATATTACAAAGCCTTAAAAAAATTTTTAGGAGTACCTAGTCACTAGTAAAAAGTAACGGATATCGATCTGTAAACGAGTATTCATGAATATCATAAAATAGCCGGATTGCACATCCCTAATTCATAATATTTAAAATATATGTTAATTTGTTTAGGTTACAAATTTGTAATCAAGCACCGCAGATTTCCTATAGTTTGTGGCTTCCTATATCTCCCTAAAAACCCGATTTTTTTTTAAATTTTCTGATTTTTCCCGGAAAACAATGTACGCCGCAAAACCATCTGTCCTCTGTAATGTCATAGTCTATGACCGGACAAAATTTATTTTATTGTTATATGAATATTTTTTGATTGCCCTTACATTTTTGAAGACAAAATCTCTGAAAAACCAAAACATACGTCTTAAACTGTCGGCCCACCCTAATTTACACATCAATTTAGCTGTTAATTTCCATATTTTAACAATATATCATAATTTTATATTATGTATTACAACAATTTCATTAAAATATTATTATTATTATAGCATCAACATATTCTGAACGTTATTTAAGTTTTCCAAATGTTACCGATAATTACAAGGGTTATGAAGAGGCTGATTTAACAAAATATGTAAATAATTTACGTGAAAAATATTTTCTATTAGTACATGGTACAGCAGATGATAACGTACATTTTCAACAATCAATGATATTAGCAAAAGCATTAGCATCAAAGGGTGTTCTATTTAAACAACAAATATATCCAGATGAAGGTCATAGTTTAGCTGGTGTTAAAAGACATTTATATCGTTCTATGACCGGATTCTTTGATGATTGTTTTAAAAAACTGGTAAGTTAATTTTGATTACCAATTTTTAAGATCAATTTTTGTTAAAAATAAAAATTGTATTTATTATTTTTTTTTTTTATTTTATATAAAGTGAACTTTTAATATTAGTTGAAAAAAGAAAGAAAACTTTATTTCAATATTTTGATATTTTTATTTAGAAGAAAATTTTAAACACTCAATTTATTTAATTATTATTTTATTTATTTTTTCAACTTTATAAATATTTATAACTATTAATTTTCTAATTTTCGAAATAAAATAAAAAATAAAGTGTTATACTATTAGTTAACTAAAAATATTCCTCTATTATATATAAAATTTTCACAATTTTCCCTTTTTTAATATCTTTTATATTATTTTTGTAATCATTTTATAACAATTTTTAAAAAAAAAAATGTCATCATTATAAATTTAATATTATATTATATAAAAATAAAAATAAAATACAAAAAAACCAAAAAAACCAAAAAAAAAATTAAAATTATTTGCATCATACTTTTCATTGGTCTAGATTGAAGATGATCCACAAGAGAGTTCTGCTGAACATTTTCTAGAATTCCTATAAAAATCTTATATAAAAACTGAAATTAATAAGCGAAACGCAAGAGTACCTTAATCATTTTAATCAAAAAATATTCATATAACATTAAAATAATTTTAATTTTAATATAAAAAACAATATTAAAAATGTTAATGAAATATAACAAAATATTTTCATAAAAAACATAAATTAAATGTTGCCAACAGAAAGTAAAAAACCAAAATTGTGAATTTCATTCAGTGTGAATGTGTGAGTGCATACAATACAAAGAATAAATAAAATAAAAGTCAAGACGAAACTCTGAATTTTCGAATAAAGAAAAACCAAAAATATTTAGAAATTTAAAAAATTATTGAATTTAAAATTTAAAAGGATGAAAGCTAATGAAAGAAAAACTATTTATAAAGTAGACCAAAATTATTTTTAAAAATTTAATAATTAGAAATATTTAGAAATTTAGAATTTAATTATTAAAAATTAATTAATAATAAAATAAATCAATAGAAAAAAAATAAATTTAATTAATATTAAAAAAAAACATTTAATTAACAATTTCGAAAAACAAAAAACAAAATTTCCGTGTTTAAAATTAATTAAAAAATTTTAATTAATAATTAAAAAAAATAATAAATTAATGTAATCATTTGTATAACATAATAATTATATTTAATTGTCATCATCATCACCATCAGTCATCATTAATTGTATAATCATCGCATACGAACACAAGTCTATCCAAAATCGAACACAAAAACCTTATTATAATTATTATTATTAACCTTTACATTTTTTCGATTCACTGAGAAAAATATGCATTTTCTATATATAAATGTAGGTAAAAAGAAAAAATAATATACAAACCCTTTTTTTACTAAATACAAATAATGTATGTATGTATGTATGTATATTGTAAATTACTTATTTATTAGTAAATTACTGAAAATAATCAGCAATTAGTATTAGGTATTTTACAATATTTAATAAATTGTTAATAATTATTGCTTTTTTATTATAACAATTATATATTGAATTTTTAAGTTTTATTTATAATATTATTCGTTAATATTAATTTTATTTATACTCGTAATTGAAATTATTTGAATTTAAACTTGTATTTATTTCGATTACACTAATAATAATGAATAATATCAGCATATATAAAATAAATGTAAATTTATTTGAAAAATTAATTACAAGTTTAGTTTGTATTGTGTAATTAAAGAAACTGCTTTAGTTATTGTTTTAAAAATGGTTTCTATTATTATTTTGAATGCTATATGAGATTAGAATTGTACAGAGTAACAAAATTATTTATTATTTTAAAAGTATATTACACCTGTTTCAATTCAATTATTAAATTAGATACACTAATTTACATGTAACTAATACATGCAAGAAATTTACAAATGAATTGAAGAATTATTTCATTATTAATTGAATTTTAATTTCTAAAATTATTGAGTCAATATATAAATAAGCGCATATGTGTTATAATTGAAAATATTTGAAAAAGGTGTCTAATATACTTATTATTCTTTCGTACACAATCGAATTTTGACTTTAATTTTTTTGACTTCTGTTTGAATAAAGGAAGACAGTTGTTTGACGTATGTTAAATAAATAAATAAATAGCAACGATTTCCCGTTAATTATCCCGCATTATTGATTTTTCTGACTCCATTCATATTTTTAAATTTTTCATTATTATTATTTAGAACATAAAATAGTGTTGTTTTGAATATCAAATTTTCAAATCAAAATAGTTATGCTGAAAAAAATTTAATTTCAAAATTATTACTCGATGCAATGTGACCCAATGCGAAAAGAAGAAAATGAGAACAATTTAAAATGAGTTGGGACATTAAATGCCTGCTCAAATTTAAACTCTTTTACCTATGAATATTGAAATAAATACAATAAATAAACAAAGAAATTTTGATATAATATGAGATGAAAAAATTTAATTAATTATAAAAAATTCGATTGTGTTACAACTTGAACAATATAAAAACTTAAAACACACACACATTTCATATTTACATAATTCTTATATTCTACATTGTTATTACATAAAATCTTTCTTTCCTGCATTAGTACACTAAAATGTAAATTCATTTAAATTTTTTCTCTGTGTATTATTTCCTGCCATTTTTTTCCCTAGCTTTATTAGTTTTAGCTATTTTTCAGTTGTAAAATATAATTTTTAAAAATTATGAACTCTTAGTGAAAATTTTAATTTTGTTTAATTAATATTTTCAATTGTTGACCATTGATATTTTGACATAATTATGAATTTTTAATATTTACTTTATGAAATTTTAATATTAAATATATTTAGCATAATAATGCAAATTTTTCTACACCGAAATTTTAGAAAATTTACGAAAAATAGTACTCTAGTAAGAAATGTTACTTTCACTCTCAACTCCAAAAATTCTAACAAAACAAAAATATTTCGCATATAGGCAAACAATTTTTGGAATCTTCAATTGATATTCGCTATTTATTAAGGTACTATGCAAGCGTTGTTAACTGTAGCTGCCTTTAGTTAGGAATTTTGACTATAATATCGGTAAACAGTATTCGAACAAAATATTACATAGAAGAGCATTGTTAACAGATGATTTTTCTGCAATTTCATTTTTGGTCTCTTAATACGTACGATTACCACTTATGTACGATTCGTCACCATGTTGTCAATATCGATCAGTTCATTTTATTCTATCTTCCATATTTCATGAAATAGATTTATTTATATTTTAAAAGCGATTATTCAAATCTACGAATTTTTATTATTAAAACACTATCTGATTATTAAATTTTAATTAATTTCGAGTCCTTGAACCATTAAACTATTTCCAATTTCAATTCAGCATAATATGCATATAGTATTATAGAAACAATTATGTAATTAATTTTAGAAAAATTAATGACCCTCTTTATGAAATATTAACGAAATTTAATTAACAATTCAAGTTGCTAATGAAAATACGTGATTCTGATACTACAAATCCTCTATAATTTCCACTTAACAAAGAAAAAATATCAACATTATTATTAAAATTTCTCTATATATGTTCAAGTTTGTGCGTCAATGCGAATTACAAAAATGCTTTGACAAACAAAATAAACTTTAATAATAATATAGTTTTTATTTCAAAAATGTTATTCTTTCATTTTAAAAATTTATTATTATAACCCTTAATATCGGAACTCGGAGTATTAAATCAATTAACATAGATGACACCAATTATCATTAAACAACATTAAAATAATATTTTCAACTATTTTTGTTACAAACATAGAAAAGGAAATTATGAAAAATTTAAAAAAAATATTATCTGTGAGCAACTGATAAGGATTAAATTAATGCTAAATTTAAGGTTTAAAATATTTTAATTTTTCTATTGATTGGGTACCATTCATATCAGCTCATTTTATTCACTAAATACCGAGAGGTATAATAGAATTTTCAAATTGTTTCAATTTAATTCGCAATTCTCTATAAAATAAAACCATAATAATAGCACAATAATTTTAGAGCATTTTTATTTTTCAATTTTTTCACAAATTTTATCCCAGCTATATCAAATAGCTTTGTGTAATTTTCGTTATAGATTAAAAAAAAAAAACTATACACGTCTATGTTAAAAATTTGTAGAAAAAAATGAACAGTGCAACAAACATAAAAATTAATTAAGCGAACGTAATTTGATTATTTATATTTTAATGAACTGGAAATGGTGAACAAGAACAATCAGACATTTTATAACATTGAATATTGTGTATTTTATTTGCATTATTGATTTTAAAGGATATTTTCTATAGTACATCGTATGATTTTGTTGTATCTACATTTAAATGAACGTTTTAGGAGGATATAAACAATTTAAATTTAATTTTACAATTATTATATTTTATTTGTATTTTAAAATATTGATGAAACAAGAATAGGAAATTAAAATAATTTTTGATAGTGAATCACAACAGAATTTTTTTAAAAATTTTTGTGCAGAAAATTATTTTAGCTTTTGTATTTTTGAAATTGAAAAAATTTTTTAACTATAATTTCAAAATAAAATTTTAACCTACACATAGCATGATTATAGCCGGAAGGAGGGGGGGAGGCACTGAAATTTTAGTAAATAGCATTTTATTAAATATTTATTGTAAATAATCTGGTAAAAATTTCATATTAAAAATTAAGGTCATTGGGGCCATGTTTAAAAATTTTTTCACCTAATTTAAATTATTTGAACATTATGAACTTTGAATTTAATTATTTACATTTTGTATGAATTTCTAGATATTTTTTGTGGAATGGAAATTTAGTCTACTGATATTATATTAAATTTCTTACTTACAAGAAGGAAAATTTTTAAATTAAAAAAAATTAACCCATTACGGAAATTTGAAAAAATTTAGGATTGATTTCTGTATTTTATTGTATAATGCTTAAAATGAAAATTAAAAATTATTCCAAAAATTTATTTATTTTTTTTTATTATTATTTAATTCATTTTTGCTTTTTAAAATATTTAAATTTAAAAATATGTCTATGGATAACCTTGCATTCCTGTTAAACTTTTTAAGTGTCTATATATTAAAATTTTGAATAATCAATGTATATATTTTTATAAAATAATAATGTAAATCTATATGTTAATATTAATTTAAATAAAATTATATTTAATATATTATTGCATAATTTAAATATAATTACTCATTTATTTATATTATAAATATTATTATATATTTCTTTTATTTTTACAGGTTCCACCAGAGACAAAGGCTGGTTTAGGTAATGGTGGAACAGGTGGAACTGGTGAGCAATAAATTAGACTTTCTAAAAAATAAATTTAAAATGAACGCCAAACGTTCTCGTTTATATAAATAATAATTAAATAATATGCTAGAATAAAATCAAAATAATTAAAAATTTAAGAAAATATTATTTAAAAATAATTATTTAGCTAAATATAAAAATTTCTTCCATTATTTATTTGCAAGAAAACTTAAACCAATAAAACAAAAGCAAAAACACTATAAAATTTACTTTTACTATAAAAATACCTTTAAGTATTTAACTATGTAAAGAATTCTTTAGAGCAAATTAAAACAAAACAAAAACTCAAAAAAATTAATTTAAAAATTAAAAAAAAAACAAAAATTATTTTATAATTGTAAAATATTATGGTTGTGATAATTAAAAAGCAAAAATAATTTTAATATTATTATAAAATTAATAAAATTACTCAAATCTTACACAAAAGAAAAAATTTTAAGGTTAATTTTAAATTTAAAATTTAAAAGATTGATTATTTAAAATGGGCGCCACTATAAAACACTAAAT